GGTTTGTTAGAGTTCTATGGGATCCAACCCCACCATCTTACTCACAACTCAGTCTTGCATATCGCGGGATTCGTCACCCTCTGCAAAATGTACCTTGGATGCGAGGCTCACTTTGGGTTATGGAGGAAATATTCCTGCTTAATGCCCTATTCCTGAGATGGGAAAATTCATGAGGTCGGAGGGGCCGAGGTATGCTGAATTGCTGGGGTCGGCTATCTCCTAGGCACCCCCATGGAGGATGTCAAGATGTGGACTACCGAATGGTTCTACATGACTGACGTCCCGCTTTATAACCCCGTCCTACGCTTCATGTCTTCTCCCACACACCTCCCAAGAAGCATTTCAATTAGCTACCAAGGAATCCCTCTCAAGAAGACGACATTGCTACTTGTGAGTTGCGTTGGGATTTTCTCCTAAGAGGAAGGGTTAATAAATACAGTAGCAGATAAGTATCTTCCTCAATGAGAACCAAGGTTATCAAACCAGTAGGAGAATCACACAAAGCCTAGTGAACAACACCTGCACACACAAGAGCAAATACTTGCACCCAACGCGAGTAAGAGGGTTGTCAATCCCCTTTGAACTCGTTACTTGCTAGGATAAATCTGGTAGTTATAGATATATAAATTGAAAACTCTATTAAAAATATATAAATTAAAAAGTAAAATAACAAGAGTAAAATTGCAGCAAGGTATTTTTGGCTTTAGTAATATGATAAAAGTAGACCCGAGGGCCATAGTTTTCACTAGAGGCTTCTCTCTTGAAAAATAGCATACGGTGGATAGACAAATTACTGTTGGGCAATTGATAGAAAGCACATAATTATGATGATATTCATGGCTATGATCATGTATATAGGCATTGCGTCCGTGATAAGTAGACTAGAACGATTCTGCATCTACTACTATTGCTCCACCAATCGACCGCTATCCAACATGCATCTATGGCATTAAGTTCATGACGAATAGAGTAACGCTTTAAGAAAGATGACATAATGTAGACAAATAAACTCAAGCAATGTGATTAGACCCCGTCATTTTTCCCTTAATGGCAACAATACAATACGTCCCTTGTTACCCCTACTAACATTGGGCGAGGACACCGCAAGATTGAGCCCATCACAAATCACCTCTCCCACTAAAGATAAATCAATCTAGT